ATAAGTTACAGGTGTATAATATATTGATTCACAATTTTTAAAGGTTATACTCCATTTATAGTTATTATAAATATTGGCTGTATTCCCTCTGTTGTACAGTATATCCTTATAGCTTATTTTATAACTCTTAGTTTGTACCTCTTATTCCCCTACCCCTATATTGCCCTTCTCTCTGCTTCCCTCTCCCCACTGGTAACCACTAGAATATGAGTCTGCTTCTTTCTTATTATATTCACCAGTTTATTTTTTAGATTCTACATGTGATACAGTACAATCTTTATCTTTCTCTGTGTGACTTAACATAATGCCCTCCAAATCCATCCATGTTTCTGCAGATGGCAAATTTTTTCCTTTTTCATGACAGAGTAGTATTCCTGTGTGTGTGTGTGTGTGTGTGTGTGTGTGTGTGTGTGTGTGTGTATGTGTACACACCCCACATCTTCTTGATCCATTCATCTGTTGATGGCCTCTGAGTTTACTTCCATATCTTGGCAATTGTAAATAATGCTGCTATGAACACTGAGGTCCATGTATCTTTTTGAATTTGGGTTTTTGGGTTTTTTGGCTATTACCCAGGAGTGGAATTGCTAGGTCATATGGTAGTTCTGTTTTCAGTTCTTTAAGAAACTTCAATACTGTCTTCCACAGTGGTTGCACTAATTTACATTCCCACCAACAGTGTATAAGGGTTCCCTTTTCTCCACATGCTCGCCAACATTTGTATTTTGTGTTCTTTTTGATGATAGCCATTCTGACAGGTGTGAGGTAATGCCTCACTGTGGTTTTGATTTGCATTTCTCTGATGATTAGCTATGTTGAGCAATTTTTTGTGTGCCTGTTGGCCATCTGCATGTCCTCTTTGGAAAAATGTCTATTCAGTTCTTCTGCCCATTTTTTAATCTGATTATTTGGTTTTTTGATGTTGAGTTGTATGAGCTGTTTCTGTAATTTGGATATTAACCCTTTATTGGTCATATCACTTGCAAATATTTTCTCCCATTTGGTAGGGTTTTTTTTTCATTTTGTCAATGGTTTCCTTTGCTGTGCAGAAGCTTTTAAGTTTAATTAGGTCCAATTTGTTTATTTTTGCTTTTATTTCCTTTGCTTCATGAGAGGGATCCTAAAAAATATTGTTGCAGTTTATGCCAAAGGTCTCTGCCTATGTTTTCTTCTAGGAGTTTTATAGTATCATCTTAACATTTAGGTCTTTAGTCCATTTTGAGTTTATTTTTGTATATGGTGTTAGCGAATGTTCCAATTTCATTCTTTTATATCACGCAGACTTTTTTTTTAACATGACTTTTCAACTTGTAGGTGGATTATTGCTTGGTCACAAGTTTCTTCCTTCACAGATGGAAATAGAAGTCTAAAAAAGGAGATCCTTAGCTGGACAACCATATAAGGGAAACATCTATGATTATTGGGAATTTTGAGAAGGATATTTATGGCCAGCTAGCTGTTTTAGCCACATACATTTTGATAAGTTGCAATTAGTTGAACTTTAATTGATATCATAGTCATTTATATTAGAAAACAGTTTTTTTTTTGAATTTTACTTAATTTTTTTCTATACAGCAGGTTCTTATTAGTTATCTATTTTATACATATTAGTGTATATATATCAATCCCAATCTCCCAGTTCATCACACCACCACCACCGCCCCCCACCGCTTCCCCACCTTGGTGTCCATACGTTTGTTCTCTACATCTGTGTCTCTATTTCTGCCCTGCAAACCGGTTCATCTGTACCATTTTTCTAGGTTCCACATATATGCATTAATATACGATACTTGTTTTTCGCTTTCTGACTTACTTCACTCTGTATGACAGTCTCTTGGTCCATCCACGTCTCTACAAATGACCCAATTTCATTCCTTTTTATGGCTGAGTAAAATTCCATTGTATGTGTGTACCACATCTTCTGTATCCATTCGTCTTTCGATGGGCATTTAGGTTGCTTCCATGACCTGGTATTGTAAATAGTGCTGCAGTGAACCTTGGGGTGCATGCACATGAAAAGATGCTCAATATCACTAATTATTAGAGAAATGCAAATCAAAACTACAGTAAGGTACCACCTCACACTGGTTAGAATGGACATCATCAAAAAGTCTACAAACAGATGCTGGAGAGGGTGTGGAGAAAAGGGAGCCCTCTTGCACTGTTGGTGGTAATGTAAATTGATACAGCCACTATGGAGAACAGTATGGAGGTTCCTTAAAAAACTAAAAACAGAATTACCATATGACCCAGCAATCCCACTACTGGGCATATACCCAGAGAAAACCATAATTCAAAAAGACACATGCACATGTTTACTAAAGATTCACGAACTTTTTTTTTTTTTTTTGCGATACGCGGGCCTCTCACTGTTGTGGCCTCTCCCGTAGCGGAGCACAGCCTCCGGACACGCAGGCTCAGCGGCCATAGCTCACGGGCCCAGCCGCTCCGCAGCATGTGGGATCCTCCCGGACCGGGGCACGAACCCCCGTCCCCTGCATCGGCAGGTGGACTCTCAACCACTGCGCCACCAAGGAAGCCCTGTGCAACCTTTTAAAAAAAAAAAAAAAAAAGGAAGAATGACTCAGGGTGGAGTTGAGAGCCACAGAGAATTGTTCCTCGACTTCGAAATCTAATCAAGAATCTTATTTATCTGGCTGGAGTTCAGAACTTCTTTGGACTAGTGGCTTCCTTCTGCCTTGTATTTGTTTCTGCTTTGTTTTTTTACATCTTTATTGGAGTATAATTGCTTTACAATGGTGTGTTAGTTTCTGCTTTATAACAAAGTGAATCAGTTATACATATATATATGTTCCCATATCTCTTCCCTCTTGCGGCTCCCTCCCTCCCACCTTCCCTATCCCACCCCTCTAGGTGGTCACAAAGCACCGAGCTGAACTCCCTGTGCTATGCGGCTGCTTCCCACTAGCTATCTACCTTACGTTTGGTAGTGTATATACGTCCATGCCTCTCTCTCGCTATGTCACAGCTTACCCTTCCCCCTCGCCGTGTCCTCAAGTCCATTCTTGAATATGTCTGTGTCTTTATTCCTGTCTTACCCCAAGGTTCTTCATGACAGTTTTTTTTCCTTAAATTCCATATATATTTGTTAGCATACGGTATTTGTCTTTCTCTTTCTGATTTACTTCACTCTGTATGACAGACTCTAGGTCTATCCACCTCATTACAAATAGCTCAATTTCGTTTCTTTTTATGGCTGAGTAATATTCCATTGTATATATGTGCCACGTCTTCTTTATCCATTCATCCGATGATGGACACTTAGGTTGCTTCCATCTCCTGGCTGTTGTAAATAGAGCTGCAATGAACATTTTGGTACATGACTCTTTTTGAATTATGGTTTTCTCAGGGTGTATGCCCAGTAGTGGGATTGCTGGGTCATATGGTAGTTCTATTTGTAGTTTTTTAAGGAACCTCCTCTGCCTTGTATTTGAATTAGAATATCTGTAATTCTTATCCTATATCTGACCCACCAGTCTATGTTGAGAGTGGTGGGAGCAAGCAACTCATCTTAGTTTCAGTTTTAAGAGAAATTGTGCCCCAGCAGTTGTACTTAATAGATTACACCCAGGAACTTCATCAACATCTAGACTTGATTTAGATTTTAGACGTTGAGCTGATGAGAGAGATGAGATTTTAGAATTTTTAATTAATGAGAGATGTAGATGAACTGATTATGTGGTGCGATACAGATTTAGATGATGAGATTTTGGACTTCGGGCTATGATGGGAGGCGACTATTACAAACCTTAGGAGGGGTACTTCCCTGGTGGTCCAGTGGTTAAGACTCCACGCTCCCAATGCAGGGGGCCCGGATTGGATCCCTGGTCAGGGAACTAGATCCCGCATGCCACAACTAAAAAAAGATCCCGCGTGCCACAGCGAAGATCCCATGTGCCGCATCTAAGATCCAGCGCAGCCAAATAAGTAAATAAATAAATAAATAAATATTAAAAAGGGAACCTTAGGAGGTGGTGAATATATTTTGCATTTGGGAGGAACGTGAGTCACTAGGGGCTACAGGACAGATTTATGCTTACCATAGTTAGGGAAAACTCAGTTAATTTATAATTATATTAAGAATTATTTAGTAAGGCTAATGTATTTATAATTTTTTCTTCTCATCTTTTGTAGCTTGTCCTATATAGATTAATTCATTTTACTTCATTTTATAATGGAAAAAAATACCATCATAAAACTTTATTTTAGTAATTTAATCCACAGTTGAATCCACAAATACAGAACCTGTGGATACAGAGGGCTGACTGTACTATGCCTTTTTTTTTCTTGAGATAATGTTGGTTTGTAACATTATATAAGTTTCATGTATGCAATATTATTTTTCTACTTCTGCATACACAGCAGTATGCTCACCACCAAATATTTAGTTTTCATCGGTCACCATACAGTTGACCCCTACCCATTTTGACTCCAACCCCTTCCCCTCTGTTCTCTATATCTACATGTTTCTTTTGTTTGGTTTGTTCATTTATATTGTTTGGTTTTTATTTTTTATATTACACATGTAAGTGAAATCATATAGTATTTGTCTTTGAACACTATGCCATTTTATATATAGGACTTGAACATCCTTGGATTTTAGTATCTGCCATGGGTGAGGGGTAGGGGGCAGGGGACAAGTGTGTATGTTCTGGAGCCAATTCCCCAGGGATTCCAAGGGACTTCTGTAAAATAAAATACAGAATACAAGTTTTGAGGAATTTTCATGTATTTAAGCATATTTAAGAAATTCTTTTACTTATTATATCAATAGTGTTGCTAATATTGTTAGTACTTTCTATTTTTTATAAATAATGAATAAGAGGATAATTAAGAAATGTTTTATTGATTCACTTGTTTTTAAATAGTTATTTTTACTAACTTGTTTATTTAACATACTTATCTATTACTGGGCAACTCTTTAAATAAAAATATTTTATGAACATGTTAATTTAATAGTATTGGTTTTTCTCTCACAGGTTTTGCAGCCTTGTGACTTGTTCTATCAAGCTACTCAGATACGTACAGATCCACAAGTGATTGAATTATCAGTAAAATCCCTGACACTGAAGGTAAGTTACATTGTAGTCAGTGCCCTTTTGAAAAAATTAATAAAACTTAGAAATAAGCAATTATTATAGCAACTCTTTTGTTAAATAAGCAAAAAAAAGCTATTTTTGGAAATCTTTTATGACACGTAATTTTAAAATGATATTTAATATATATTTTATAATGAATGTTTTCATATATTTTGTTATTGGCAGTTGACTGCTTCTGTAGTTAACATCCTTATAGTATGTATAGTTGATCAGTTTAATATCGACATATAAATATTTTAACTATTGAAATTAGTTATGATAATCAAAAAACTTTTTTGTAGGCAGCAAATTGTATCTACTATTTCTTGGTAGTAAGTTTAGTTCAATATTAATTCCTCTTGATCCTTTACAAATATATTTAATGTTTTTTGAAGTGTGTATTTTTGAAAGTGGTTTATGTAGATTTTTTAATTAACTTTTTCCCCTTAGGTGTCACCAGTTATCATAAACACTGTGATTACCATAACTTCAGCACTTTATACAGCTAAGGAAACCATCCCACAAGAAACTGCTTCTTCTACAGCACATTTATGGGAAAAGAAGGATACAAAGAATTTAAAAATGTGGTTTCTTGAAGAACCAAATGAAGTTGAAAAAATAGCTTCCCCAACTGAATTGGTACCCAAAGGAGAGATAATAAGAATGAATATTGATTCTATTTTTCTAGTTCTTGGGGCTGGAATTGGTCATCGAACAGTACCTATGCTTTTGGCAAAATCACGTTTCTCAGGGGAAGGCAAAAACTGGAGTTCCCTAATAAATCTCCACTGTCAGCTTGAGCTAGAAGTAAGCATATGTAGTATTTTTCCAGATTTTATAACAAATAATGCTATACATGGACTATTTGGGGACTCTTACTTAAACATTTAAATTAAATTTATCCTAAGTATGATGTTGGTTCACAAAACTTTTGGAAGAAAGTGTACAAATTTATGCGCTTGATATAGTTTTTATGTGTATGTTACTTTTAGAGTACATGTCCATATTAAGTTTATATTTCAACTGATTTCATTCATCTTAAAGTTGATGATATTAATAGACAGTTGTTCAGTAGATGAAAAATTCTTAATTTTAAGAATTAAATTGAATATCCTTTTTCCTTTAAAATGATAATAGACTATTTCTTAATCTCTTCTAAAATAGTAATATAAAGAATGAGAAAAATATGCCTTATACTTTTATATAACGCAGAATCTTTGTAATGTAGTGAGACTCCACCAAGGTCTTTCAGATTTTTGTGAGAGTCCTTTAGTTATATGGAAGATATTTGCTTTGAACCAACATATATTTTGCTTCAGAATTTATCTACATAGAATCATCCCAGAGATATTTTGCTTTAAATTATTAATTGAGTTGATGTCAAGTAGAAACTAATCTGATACTCTACCTAAGTCAGTAAATATGAAAATTTATAAGCTGCTATAACGTTTGTGTTGATACAGAGTTATATGCTAATAGAGGTGGAACTGACAGACTAGATTTCAACTTTCCAAATTTTAGCTAGAATTATCTGTATTTTGCAGAGGATTTGATCTAGGATGTCCAAGAAGTTCAGAGAATTCAAATAAGTGCATACTCAATGAATCATATGTTACTTGCCTCAAAGGCTTTTGAAAAGTCAGTGGAGGTAGACAGATAATGTTTAAAAAATGTCAGTAGTGTTTGATAGATGAACACAGCTTTCGATGTTAAGCCCAGCCTGAAAGTCAAGGAAAGACACCTAAAAGAGAGTTTTTTTTTCTGGATTAAATTGTGAAGACTAGACCATGAAGTTAGCCAAGTGAGGAAAGCATGAGGAAACTAATGAATGGCATGTAGACGGTTTTCACATGGAAGAAATAGCACAGCCAAAAGGAATGCTGGTGGGAAACAGCATGGAAGATCATTTTAGAAAATCTCAGAGTGCCTTATTTAAAAAATTAAAAATTCTCTCTCTAGGTACATTATTACAATGAAATGTTTGGTGTGTGGGAACCTTTGCTTGAACCCTTAGAAATTGATCAGACTGAGGATTTTAGACCATGGAATCTTGGAATCAAGGTATTTTTGAAGTCTGAAAATTTTTTTCAAATACTGAGGATGTCCACATTACACACACTTTAATTTTAATCGCAACAGAGTTCAGGTATCTCCTTATGAGCCTTTCCACATGCTTCCTTGTTTGACCTCTGAATGTAATTTTCAAACCCAAGGCCATTGCCTCATGGGCTTCTAATACAGATAATTATGTAACATTTATTATGCACTAGACATTGTTCTAAATAATCTACTTTTGCTTTAACCCTTACAACAAACCTCTGAAGAATATACAGTTTTAAACTTCATTTTAACGTGTGATGGGACTGAAACTGTGGAAGTTAAAGGACTTCCGTAAAGCAATAATACCTTTAAATTGGAAGAGGTGGAATTTAATACTGGCTTCACAGTCCCCACACATAACCGTAATGTTAAAATATCGCCAGCATTTTCTTGAAGGTTGTTGTCTATCCCAAGTTTTCTTTGATCTCTGAAGGGTGTATATATAGAAGAAAATATAATATTATTTGTTTGAAATATAGTGTGAATTTATGTAATCATATGAATCAGGACCTTTAGATGGATGAAATTGTGCTTCTGAAGCAAGAGACTGCAGCATTCCTAGCATATCTCCTCCCTAGTAATGATTCAGTCAACCGGCAGACAAATGTTCAGTGGTTTAAAGCCAGATAAAGGAACAGTAAAGGTGACTAGCTTGGCATATCCAGCTTTTTGTATTAAACCAGGACATTTGATTTTCCACATATTTCAGATAAAAGATTTGGATAAAGGAACTTATTTGGCGGTTGTTAGGTCAGGATACACATAGGCAGTAGACCTGTGAGTCTACTCACAGAGATAGGTGGTATTGATTCACATGAGCCTACTCAAGAGGTAGGTGGTATTGATTCACATGAGCCCTAGGTCCTAGTGGCACTGTTCTGCAACTGTTGTTGGACTTTTTAAGTCCCTAGGTTTCTGTTCTTTATTTATAGCACCAGTAGATTAAACGACTTTTCTTGCCCTGAATTTCCACATGCTATGATGCTAATTTTCATTCAGATGCTCCATGCATTTAGTAATTTTAGGGGTTATTTTCCCTTCCAAATTGTGCCTGCCATTTTAGTATAACTGAGGAGGAGGAGAATTTTTCTTCCAATACTGCTTCTATCCAATGCAACCTTAGTTGGCTGATGTCCAAGTAATTCCAAGTAAGGCAGTGGAACTGATAAAATGTATTGCTCTCTCTAATGCTGTCATTGGAATTTGTCTGATGTTTGCTTTTCCTTTGCAAAATGAGTTATGTTGTGCTCCTAGGAACAAATTTTTCTCATATTTCTACAATTTATATTTTATTTTAGATGAAAAAGAAAGCCAAAAAGGCCATTGTTGAGTCAAGTACCGAAGAAGAAAATTACAAGGTACCAGAATATAAAACTGTCATCACTTTCCATTCAAAAGACCAACTAAACATTACATTATCCAAATGTGGCCTTGTAATGTTAAATAATTTAGTCAAGGTAAGAAAATTAACTTGAAACTTTAAACGTTGGTGTACTAGTCTGAGTTAACCCTTTTCTTTTATTGAACAAGAAGTTTTTTGTTAACTTAGCTATTTGTCATATGTCCATTAGTGTTGTGCTTGTCGTTTAGTTTTCTACATTTTCTTTTATTTATGATAACCCTTTCTTATTAGGCATTTACAGAAGCTGCCACTGGATCTTCAGCTGCCTTCATAAGGGATCTAGCACCATTTATGATTTTAAATTCTCTTGGACTTAGTATCTCTGTTTCACCAAGTGACTCTTTTAGTGTGCTCAGCGTACCTATGGCAAAATCATATGTATTGAAAAATGAGGAGAGTTTAAGTATGGATTATATCCGAACTAAAGACAATGATCATTTCAATGCAAGGACCAGCCTAAGCAGCAAATTCTTCTTCATTCTTCTTAGTAAGTGATAAATTACCTTCCTGGGGCTTTAATTTCTTTTAAGTTACATTTTATATCCCATTTTACTCACTTGTGATATCTCACAGGTTTTTTATCTCCTTTCTCATATTTTGCAAATTTCATTATTTCCTTTGCAGGGCTTTGCTTGCTGTTGTCACTTTATCTTTGTATTTCAAATTCTGACTTTCTTTGGCCACTGCTTTATTTAGAGTATGGTAATTTACTACTTTATGTTTTAGAGAGGAAAATTATTAAATCTCATCCTCAGCATTTACAGACGTAGCTATAGGTGGTTGTTTTAATCACTTGTAGTATATAACTCAGTAGAATTGCACCAGTTTTGCAACTGAACGAATTCAGAATAAGGTTTGAATTCATGAAATGGCACAGGGTAATGGTTTTGGGGTTTGTAAATGGTTTTTGTGTTCTGCCTGTTGAGGTAGAGGTATTTTCCTTTGTCCTTTATGTTTCCCAGAAGTTTTTCATTTTCATGAGAGGTGAAAGTAAATACATTTTTAAATTATCATAGTATATAGTCATTGTGAAGTTAAATATTAAATAGTCCCAAAGCCTCACTGACACCACTTTCTGACACTCTGACATTTAAGTAGTTATGGAAGGGAGGATATTAGAAAGGTAAATTAGTCATGGAGGAGGGGTACTAAAACTGATAGCTAATACTTTTTCCTAGTCAGGAAATGATTCATAACAGTGGCTATGTTTCAGGTGTTGTCCCAGCATTGTCCATGAATTATTCTCATCAATTTTACCTCTGTTGGTTTTTAAACTGACATTTTTATGGGATAGTAGAGAAGAAGGTTATATAAATAGATAATTCACCCCAATACAATATATGTATATATATATATATATATATATATATTAGATAAAACTGTAAAATTTTAATCAAATCTTACATATCACAGAGTGTCACAGGTTGGTGGGAAAACTTAAAAACTGAAAAATTGCAGCTACTTGGTAGTTGCCAATGACTGCCTGAATGTATTAGGCTCTGGTTATTATGACAGCAAACCAGAGAACAGTGTTCTTGTATTTTCTAGTAATTTCTCTCATCAGTCAGTTATTTTTAAAAGGTTATGTTGTTGTCTTAGGTTAAACTACTGAATGAGATTTCTTTTTCAATTAAAAACTTTTTTTGGTAAAATGCTTTGAAGGTTTTAAATGAATGATGTAGGTATGTATTGTGGATTCTTAAAATATCCCTTTGTGTAGATTTCAGTGATAATTATTCATAAGTTTAAGAAATCATCTGATGTTTCTGGTTTAAAATGTCTACTTAAAATTAATATATGATGAATTATAATAAAAACTTTCAAACATGTATATTTAATTTAGCACCTGCTAACCACTCTACTGCTGATAAAATCCCTTTAACAAAAGTGGGACGACGACTGTACACTGTAAGACACAGAGAGTCTGGAGTTGAAAGATCTATTGTTTGTCAAATTGATGCAGTGGAAGGAAGTAAGAAGGTAACAATTCGCTCCCCAGTGCAGGTACGGAATGATTCATTTTTTTGAGGTCATATTGTGTATATTTGTATGCTAATTAAAAAAAAAAAACTAAAGCAAATTACTACCAAAAGAATACAAACTGTAATAGAAATATAGCTAATAGCAAAAAGAATAATCATTATCAGTAATTATACTACTGTAATACGAGCAGTTGTAGGAATATTTTGTAAATGTTTTTGGAATATTGTAAAAAAACAAAAAAAAATCAATATTTTGTTTTAGTTCTTTGTAGTATGTATTTATTCTTTCGTTTCAATTAGAGAATACAGTGAGAGATTTTGTACACCTTTATTGAGGTAAAATTGATGTACAATAAACTGCATATATTTAAAGTTGATGAATTTTGACAAAAAATACACATATGAACCTTCATCACAATCAAAGTAATAAACATACTTATCACCACAAAAAGTTTCCTCATCCCCTGTCTCCCCATTCCCATGCATCCACTTATATGTTCTTGTGGTGCATTAGTTGCACAATATAGAATTTTATGTAAATGAATGAAGTACAGAATGGAGTCTGGCTTCTTTCACTCAGGATAATTTTGTATGTGTCAACTTCTGTGTATTAATGTTGTTGCATGCAGTTACATGTTGTTGAGTAGTAATCTGTTCTATGTATATACCACATACCATTTTTAATGAATTTTTGTATATGATATAAAGTGAGCGTTGAGGTTCATTTTTTTCCGCTTGTCTATTCATTTGTTCTGACCAGGATTATCCTTTTTCCATTAAATTGCCTTGACACTTTTGTCAAAAATAAATTGACCATATCTCCATATCTGTGTATGTTTATGTCTGAGGTGTCTAATCTGTTTCATTGATCTATTTATGTCGTACCACACTGTCTTGATTACTACTTTATCCTCACTCTTGAAATCAGGTAGTACAAGTTGTACCACTTTGTTCTTTTTTAAAGTTGTTTTGGCTAGCCTAAGTCCTTTCCATTTCCATTTAAATTTTAGACTTCGAGTTTTCAATTTTTATTTAGAAATTTTGATTAAATTGGCATTTTTAATATTAATTTTTTATTTTTTCTTGCTAGTAGAAATACATTTGGTTTTTGTATTAACTTGTATTATGCAACCTTACTAGATACATTTATTCTAGTAGCTTTTTTATAGATAGAGATAGTTATGATGTCTGCAGATAAAAATATTTTTACTTCTTCCTTTCCAATCTGATGTTTATCGGCTTTTTTTTTTTTTTGCGCTACGCGGGCCTCTCACTACTGTGGCCTCTCCCGTTGTGGAGCACAGGCTCCGGACGCGCAGGCTCAGCGGCCATGGCTCACAGGCCCAGCCGCTCCACGGCATGTGGGATCTTCCCAGACCAGGGCACGAACCCATGTCCCCTGCATCGGCGGGCGGACTCTCAACCACTGCGCCACCAGGGAAGCCCTATTTTCTTTTCTCTTGTTTATTGCACTGGGTAGAATCTCCAGTACAATTTGAATAGAAATTATGAAAGTGGATGTTTTTATCTTGTTCTCAATCTTAGGGGAAAAGTATTCAGTCTTTGACCATTGAGTATGTTTTGAGTTGTTTTTGTTGTTGTTGTTGTTCATGATCCCTCTGTTCCTAGTTTACTGAGAGTTTTTAAATCAGAAATGAATGTTGCATTTTGTCAAATGATTTTCTCTGTTTCTCGAGAGGATCTTTTAAAAAAATTGTTAATATGATGAATTACATTGATTTTTAATTATTATATTAAATAATGATTGACTTTTAAATGTTAAATCAACCTTGCATTCCCAGGATAAACCTTATTTGGTTTTGAAGTATTAACCTTTTAATATATTGTTGGATTGATTTGCTAAATTCACGTTTATAATTTTTGCATTTATGTTCATGAGGGGTGTTGGTATAGAGTTTTCTTGTAATGTTTTTCTTAAGTTTTTAAACCACAGTTTCACTTTAAGGGCTATTCACATTATCTGTCACTTCTTGAGTGAGCTCTTCTAGTAATTTTGTGTCTTTAATGAAATTTGTCAGTGAACTATTTTTGCTTTTACTTCACTTTTATTTTCACAGGGTGTAGAAATTTAGATTGACAGTTATTTTTTCCATACTTTTAGGATGTCATTTCACTATCGACTGTATTACATTGTTTCTGACCAGGGTCTGCTGTTATTCTTAACCTTTGTTCTATGAAATGTGTGATGTTATTTTTATATACTTTTAAGTTTCTTTTCCCTTTATTACTGGTTTTAAAAAATTTGGTTGAGATGAATCCTACATGTTTCTTGTACTTGAGTCTTTGAAGCTTCTTGAATCTGTGGATTTATAGTTTTCATCAACTTTAGAAAACAATGTTGCCATTGTTTCTTCAAATATTTTTTTCTGTCTTCCCCCTGTCTTCTCTTCTTCAAGTAGGTGTGTATTAGAGTGTTTAAACTTATGCTGTCTGATGCTCTGTTCACTTTTTCTTTCAGCTTCCCCCGACCCCCATGTTTCTGTTTCGATAGTTTCTATTATTATGTCTTTAAGTTCACTTTTCAATGTTTAATGTGTTCTTAATCTCATCCAATGTATTTTTATGTCTAGAAGTTCAACTTGCATTTTTATTTACATTTTCCATGTCTTTTTATATATCCTGAGCTTTCCCCTAACTTCTGAACATATCAAGTATAGTTAATATAAATGTTTTAATATCCTTGTCTACTAATTCTGTCATGTGTTTCATTTCTGATTTGTTTCATTTTATTCATTTTTAATGGGTCATTTTAAAATTCTTTTTGTGTGTCCAGTAATTTTTTTACCAGTTGCTTAAAATTGTGAATTTTACCTCATCAGGTGCTTTAGATGTATTTGTATCCCTTTATGTATTCTTGAACTTAATTCTCCAACACAGTTATGTTAGTTGGAAAGTGATCCTTTCATTGCTTGTTTTAAAACTTTTTAGGTGAGACTCAAGCAGCCCGTAGCCTAGGGTTAATTTTGCCCCACTAATAAAGCACTGTAATCAATACCCTTTGTACTAAACAAGTTTTTACCACTTTGGTTGGTTAGAAAAGGAACTGTGTGTCAGCACCAGAGATTGTTCTGCCTGCGGCTTTCAGATGGATCTTTACTGAGCCTTAGACAGTGTACTCACGTGCATGTGCCAGACAGTACTGTACTGAAGTCTTCGGAACAGGGGGCGCTCTTAAAGTCTCAGGAGTTACCTCTCTGTAACTCTCACCTGTCCATGCAGCTATCTTCTCTCTCATGTAATGTGCTGTTAGAGTAAGCCTCATTGGCTTTCCCATATTCTTATATCTATCTCTTCAACTCAGACTGGGCTCTGTTTGACTTCTTCTCCACACAGTAATCCAGAAACTCTCCAGGTAGTAAGATGAGGTGACAATCTTAGGGCTTATCTTGGTGGAGTTTTCTTTCTTCCTTCCTGCCTCCCTCCCTCCCTCCCTCCTTCCCTTCCCTTCCTTCCTTCCTTCCTTCCTTCCTCTCTCTTTCTCTCTCTCCCCTCCCCTTCTCTCTCCCCCTCCCTCTCTCCCCCCCTTTCTTTCTTTCTCTCTCTCCCTCCTTCTCTCTCTCTAGCCCTCCCTCCCTACCCTTCTCTTCCCTTCCCCTCCCCCTTTCTTTCCTTCTTTCTTTCCCTCCCTCCCTCCCTCCCTCCCTCCCTCCTTCCCTCCTTTCCTTTCCTTCCTTTCCTTCCTTCCTGTGCCACCTTTTTGTCCATTACTTCATGTGTATTTTTTTTTCCCCTGGTGTTTTGGTTGTTTATATTGGGAAGTTATATCTGGTCTGTGTTTTTCTATCAGGGCTGAAAACAGAGGTTCCTTCTCTTTCATTTTTGATTTACGATGAACTGTATTAAAAGATGACAGGGCTTCACTGGTGGCACAGTGGTTGAGAGTCCGCCTGCTGATGCAGGGGACACGGGTTTGTGCCCCGGTCCGGGAAGATCCCACATGCTGTGGAGCAGCTGCGCGTGAGCCATGGCCGCTGAGCCTGCGCGTCCGGAGCCTATTGGCTCTGCAACGGGAGAGGCCACAACAGTGAGAGGCCTGCGTACCGCTAAAAATAAAATAAAATAAAATAAAAGATGACAATTGGTCTGTGTCATTATCGTAGATTACTTTTGAATTTTATTAAATAGTAAAACATTAATGTTAAATTTCTTATAGGTACTTTCATAGAAATGAAAATATATGTCTCTTCTTTTAAATCGGTAGAGCAAACAGTTTATCTAGAAATAAAATATAGTGTAGTTAAGTTTATATATTTATCAGTTCTTAGTTTGCACTCAGTATGTTTTATATTTTGGTATGATTTTTAAAATATAAAGATTTTAGTAAGCTATAGAAATAATACAAGAAAATGGTGTTACTAACCAGTTTGTTTTTGTCTATCCCAAAGATAAATATAAACGGAGGTTTATCTGATAATGTGTGTTAATCAAAATAATGTTAACCTTTTACATCACTGTTGTATGCTACTCACTGGGTGAGCTATTCCCTGCACACTCTTTTGATTACATCACAACAGTGATGTAAAAAGGTAGACATTTGCCAGCCAGTGGCTTGTTTTTCACTTTTATCATATAGACATCTAAAACTTGGATATAATATTTTTCCTATTAATTTTTTCTACTATTTTTGTCTAAAGGAAAAGTTATTCCTTATATCAAGGTCAAGAAGATGTTATTTTCTTCTAAGGTTTTTAAAGTTTTGTTTCTGAGATTCCTTTTCGCTAAAACTGGAAACTTTCCTTGTAATTTTTAGCAAAGATAATTGCATGTTTGGATTTTTTTTTCTAATTTATATGAGCAAGATAAATATTGCCTGATAATTCCTTTGCTGGGATATTTAGATGGAATATTTTTTAAATGTCTTTAGATTCTTAGATTAATGATACTAAATGTTACTTTTCTTTCCCAGATGAGAAATCATTTTTCAATACCACTTTATGTTTATGGAGGGGACACCTTATTGGGAACGGCTTCACCTGGAAGTGAATTTAACATACCATTAGCATCTTACCGGTGATTTATTTCTTTATCCTTTGTTTGCCCTAAGGTCTCTTATACACTTTTTAGTTTCTGATTTAGTAGTGATATCTATCTTTAAGTTATCAAACCATGATCAAATTTATCTTGTTAAAATCTCATCTAACTTATTTAAGTTTCGGCACACTTAGAAGATTTTTTTAAAGAAATATTATTTAACTTAATGTATATAATGTATATCCTATAAATTATCTATGCTTTCACTAGTAAATATAAATTACATGCTTGCAATATAACTGTCATGGCCATAGTCATATATATTTATGATTTTTAAAAAATTTCTTACTGAGCATGATTGGTGGCTTCTAGATTTATTTACACTATTATGAAGTGATTTTTACTTTTCTAGGGTTTTATGATAGAATTTTTTTAGAAATTTCTTTAGAAAATGTAAAATATTTTATCTTTTAATCTACATATTTATCTATTAATTGTTCATTGATAGAATTGTAATGTGAATAGAGATAGACAGTTGATCCTTCAACAACATGCGGGTTAGAGGTGCTGACGCCCATGCAGTCAAAAGTACACATTCAGTTGTCCCTCAGTATCCATAGAGGATTGTTTCCAGGACCCACTGCAGATACCAGAATCCTTGGGTGCTCAAGTCCCATAGTCAGTCCTCCATACCTCTATTTCCACATCCATGGATTCAACCAAGTGCTGGTCATCAAGTACTTTATTTGCTGAAAAATGTCTGCTTATGAATGGACCCATGTAGTTCAAATCCGTGTTGTTCAAGGGTCAGCTGTATAGTACATATAAAATCTTTTATGTATTAAGAAAGGACTATTAAAATTGTAACAGTACTAATGATGGGCTAGTCTCTTAATCATAGGCTTAATATTACAAACAAGTATTATTATTATTTAGGATATTTAATCTGGAATTGAAGATAATATCTTTTAGGGAGATTAAACTCTCTTGGAGAATAAAAACTTCCTCAGAATAAGCATCATAGTTTGTTAAGTACCATTTCAAAACACACTCTAGACATGGACCTTTAGACCTGTGCTACAAAAAGATGGAGGCAAAATTACAAGCAGTGCTAAAATATTCCTTACCTCTATTTATTCTGCCCCATACGTAGGAGTTCAAGATTGTGTCCCTAATGCTTAGAAGACAGCCTAGCAGTTTTAGGCACATATTTTCAGAGAGTAGACCTGCTCACCTTAATGAGTGTTTTATTGCCTAGGCTTTCTAACCCTAATGAGTTTTATTGCTTAGTTCAGACTTGCTGAGGGAAAGAGTTATATTGTCTAGAGAACAACCACAAAATAGTTGTTTATAGTATCTGACCTTGTTCTAGAGAGTATTTGGGGTGGGTTATAAAGTAGCATGGATTAAAAAGTAGCATGTAAGATATGTTCAAAAGTTTCTGTGAGGAAATCCATTTTGTCCTTGGATAATAAAAGTTAATGGTATTCTGCTTTATTTTTAGTAAATATTACTATATATTTTGTGTTTCTGTCCATAGAAGAGAAAAGTTAGGCCATTAGAGTATCTTTACACATTTTTGTTCAAGGCTAAATATTTGTTACATGGAAGTTAATCTATCTTAATTAGAATTATTAATGACTGACTAGCTTGGATTTCATATTAGATATTCTTCTAATCTAATGCTTAGATATAGATACTCATATTTAAGATGTGAGGTCTTAAATTAACAAATGGGTATCATTCTGTAGAATTTAAGTATACTTATTCTTAAATTTAATTCATTTAACAAGTATTTACCAAGTGTTTTGTTGTGTGGAAGGCACTACTGTAGGATACCAAGAGGAACTGGCATGGCTATTCCCCTTGAGAGATTGATATATTATATAGGTACAGAAAGTAGAAAACAATGGGTTGTTGAGAATCACAGAAAAAGTTTTAGTTGCAGAAAACTATGAAAAGGAAAGAAGGGATTAATGATTAACTCCTGAGAGATGTACATGAATTATAGTTAAAATATAATAATGTGGAGATTAGTGGGGAAGGGCAATCTTAAATGGAAGGAATTGCATAACAAAGATAAGGAGGCATGAATGCACAGGATTTGTACAGGTCTATAAAAGACTAGGGGTTTGACTGGAATGTAGTGTGCATGTTGGAATACGAAATTTGAAAGCTTAAGTCCACATTGGGATAGTTGCTCGCTCATTGTCTTGCCCCCATTTATATAAATTTTATCTTCATCTTTAATATCTATTTCTTCCTCTCTCAGAACATTTGGTGTTCTTCTGTTTTAAGACCATTTAATGCATCAGCTCTTCTCACTCAAAACCTCTTGCCATTGATCATCTGTCTCTCATGTTTTCTCTTCAAACTTTCCTTTAACCTTGCATATGTCTCTAGTTCAGCTCTACCCTTCAGAAACAAAGCTTTTGGGGAAAATTGTGACCTCTGGAAAACACTCTGCAGCCAGTCTAGAAAGAGTTAACCACACTCTTCATGCCCTTAGTCTGCAGTATACATCTGGGCATTTTTTTTTGGGGGGGGGGTACCTATCACAGTGCAGTAGTTATCTTTTAACATTACATTTCCCATGTGATTGGTATCTCCTCAAGAGTAAAGAATGACTTACTCATTTGTTCATTTTCAGTTTTACCTTCTCATTGGTAAATAATAGTCCAATAAATGTCTTGATGGAAAAAAAATGAAATTTCAGAGAGAATATAGAAGTAAAATAGGCTAAATCTGATAACTGATTTGACAGGTAACTATATCTATGTGTGTAAGGGGGGAATAAGGAAGAGTTAATATTATTTTATAGTCCAGAGTGCCAATAGCTGGAAGTTCCTGAAAAAACGACACACAGAGAAGTGGGTGTGGAGGGTTCAGAGTTCAATTTAGCAGTTTAAGGCACCATCTGACATCATTACAGAAATATGTAGTAGATATTTAAAATTTTGAGGGCTAGAGCTTAAGAAAACAATCACAGCTAGAGATAGTATTGACACTTGTCACACAGTAAGGGATAGTGTCACAATCATAGGTAATTAGTTTTACAAGTATAAAAATACTTAAGTGTTTATACTTGGACACACCTTAGTGTAATATTTTAAATAATTAATAAAAAATTATTAAACCCAAAGTACATTTGCAATGTAAACAAAGAATGTGATTTTTAAATATAAGGATTAATCATATGTGACACCTAATAATTTTATTGCTGTCTTCTTACAACCACTTCTGCAACTATGCCCAACATTTCTGTAAAGCTAAGTATCTATTGAAAGCTTTCATTTGATTAACCTTGAATAGCCGGTGATTAATTTTTCAGTAGAAATATATTTTTGCTTCACAAATTCAATCATGGTATGTACTTGGGACCACATATCCAGGAAAGCCAACTTCTTTAAGTTAAGTGTTTAAGTCACAGCTGTATGTGTGTGTTTTGCATATATGACCTGTATGATTACGTATTTTCTGCGAGAAACCAGTTATTATCTTGTAAACATACTTTTAAGACAACAAGTTTGTAAGAAAAATATTCTTCTCTTGGGAGCCAAATAACTTGATTGGTTTCCAGAAAGTTAAGATGGAAATTGGTATCTGTATGTCTATCTTACCTATCTCTAAGAAGAATGTGAAAATATAAAAATTTATTACAATAGTATGGAGGGAGATAATTTCATTGTTCTGAAGCTGTAACCAAACAATTAAACATGTATTTTCTTTTAAAGCATTTTAAAATGTATTTTTTAATCTTTTATGTAGATCACTCCTTTCCCTGAAGCCAGAAGATGAGGACTATCAAATGTGTGAAGGAATTGATTTTGAAGAAATTATAAAAAATGATGGCACTTTTCTCAAGAACTGTAGATCTATAAACCCTTCCAAGAAGCCATTTATCATTAATATTGTCCCCGAAAAAGATAATTTGACATCTGTGTCAGTGTATTCAGAAGATGGTTGGGACTTACCATATATAATGCATTTGTGGCCACCTATTCTACTCCGAAATCTTCTTCCTTACAAAATTGCTTATTATATAGAGGTATTCTGGAATTTTTTTAATGCCCTCCTGTCTTTGATTTTGTAGCTTTAGTTATTTAAAGTTATAAACAATAAAGCAATGTTTTAAAATTCTAATAAAAATTATAGTACTGGTGAATAGACAGTACAGATATTCTTCAAATGGAAAAGAAATGTTTCAATCATGTTATATGAAAGAAGATTAAAAAAAAGTTTTTCCACTGATTTACCTTAGAAATCTGGTTACTAAGTTGAATATAATTCATATACACATATATGATATGCCATTTTAAAAATCATTTATGAAAGTAATAGATATTCCTGTAGAAAATTTTAGATAATAGAGATTATTAAGATTGTCTATAATCATATTATCTGAAGGTAGCACTTCTGATGAAGTTATCATTTCAGTTCTAAAATATATATTTTTCAGTCTTTTCCATGCATGTATATTTCATGTATATTTAAAAGATGGATACTAACTTTTCAAACATGTATGAGAATTAGTATTAAAATGATAGTACTAGACTTAAGACTTGCTACATTGTATTATTCTTGTGCTAGCTTTCTAAAAGGATTTTATGCCCTATAAAGATGGTTTTTCTTTTAAATACTCTTTGTTTTAAGATATTACATCTGATTCCTTCCTGTTGCTATAACAGGAATCTCTCCACCTTAGGATTTTAAGTAAATATTCCATTTGCCATTGCTTGTCAGATATAAGAAAGTAGTTCTTCATTGTAGTATATTATTTGTTTTATTGCAGTCTGTTAATTATTAATTATTGGGATTTACTCTGTTTACACTTTTCTGTTAAATTTTTTTTTGGAGTGGGGGAGTGAACACATCTGTGGTTTAAGAATATCTGTTTTCCATATGGTTGACAGATAACATAGTGGTTAAGAATTTACACTTTGCTGTCAGATAGATTTGAGATTGAATCCTACCTCTATCGCTTACTAGTGCTATGTCTTTAGGTAAGCTACGTTATCTTTCTAAATCATTTGTCCAAGCCTATAAAAGGGGGATAGTAATAAAACTTTCATGATTGGGATATGGTGAAATCAAATTAAATAATGTTTGTAAAGGACTTAGCACAGTGCCTGACAGGCACATGGTTCCCATTTATTTACCTCTCCAGCACCACCAGCACTACTCTTCTATTTTGTGGAACATGTCAAGTATTGATAGCTTACCTTGTTTTTGCTTTAAGTAATTTAAAATCTTAAGGTGAAGAGATTCCCATGTTATAACAGGAGGGAACCAGATTAGAGTTGCTGGAAAAACAGGTGAAATACCCAGATGGAATGTCTATCTATGTTGCATTTTAATAGAACTTTTAACTTGATGCTTTTAGGGATCACATTCTGTTTGCTAGTTTCCAAAGAATATGATCACTTTTTAGAAAGGCAGTTTAGCTGCAGTGTGGAGAAGGGCTTAGAGGAGATAAGAGCAGTTAGGAGACTCTTAAAAGGAGAGGTTACAGTGACATGAACTAAGGTAATGCAAGTGTGAGTGGAGAGAAATGAACAGTTTTGGAAGCTACGTAAAATTCAGTATAAACAGTGATTGGAAATGGGTTATGAGAGTTTGTTAAAAATCAAAAATGAGAGTTAGTAGGGATTGCTTATTTTGGATTACATACATTTTTCATTATTTTGTAGTTTCACAACTAAAATCACTAGTAGATAAGATTTTTGTTTTACTAATTATAGTGTTTTATAATCTTCATTAGTGCCAGCAGAATTTCACACTATATTATTTTATTTTCACAGTAGTCCTTTGAAGTAGATCATTTAGACCATTTTACAAATACAGTAACGCAAATCTCAATTTATAGAAATTTATACAGTTGACAGAGTTAGAACATGAACATAAGTCTTCCTTTTCTGACAGAGATTTCAGAATCATTTGTATAGCATTTGGAATCATTAAATAGAATATTTTGGCGTATTATTCTGAAACATTAAAAATTTACCATATTTTTTTTTTATTATAGGGCACTGAACATAGAGTTTTTACTCTACATGAAGGCCATTCAGCCCAGATTTGTACTGTACAGTTGGATAAAGCCAGGCTGCATTTAAAATTACTTGACTATCTTAATCATGATTGGAAAAGTGAATATCATATAAAACCTAATCAACAAGATATTAGTTTCATCAGTTTTACTTGTGTTACAGAAATAGAAAAGACTGATTTAGATATTGCTATCCATGTGACTTATAATACTGGCCAGACAGTTATGGCATTTCATAGTCCTTACTGGATGGTCAATAAAACTGGTCGAATGTTACAGTATAAAGCAGATGGAATTCATCGAAAGCATCCACCTAATTATAAAAAGCCAGTTCTCTTTTCTTTTCAGCCAAAGCACTTTTTTAATAACAATAAGGTATGTGAAGTTTTTTTGACTTTCATTCTTCTTTATCTACTTATCACTCCTTTTTGTTTGTTTAGAAGAATAAAATATTATGAAATAGGTAGAAATAGCATTTGTGAAATATTTGAGGTTAAAAAGATTAAAATTTAGACTTGGGAAGGGTTTAGTGCATTAACAGTATAATATTAGTTTAGGCTAAAAAAGCAAAAAGTATATCAACTTAGGTAGGAATTTTTAAAGGTACCTAAATACTAATATATTTGAATTATTTTTTTCTAGGTTCAGCTTATGGTAACTGATAGTGAATTGTCAGATCAGTTTTCAATTGATACTGTTGGTAGTCATGGAGCTGTTAAATGTAAGGGCCTGAAAATGGACTATCAAGTGAGTTCATTTTATGCTCATCAGGAAATTTTTTTTAAGCTCTACTGAGTACTTAATTTTTATCAGGATGTTATGATAATGGAATAGTTTTTGAAATGTTGCTATTTTTTTTTTCCTGTAGGTTGGTGTCACTATAGATCTTAGCAGTTTTAACATTACCAGAATTGTCACCTTTACACCCTTTTTTTTGCTTAAAAACAAAAGTAAATATCGTATATCAGTGGCTGAAGAGGGAAGTGATAAATGGCTCTCTCTTGATTTGGAGCAGGTGGGTAGAAGAATTTCAAAAAGGTACCTCTTTAGATTTTCATTTTCCCTTGAAGTTTGATACATGAAATCACTATGTAATGTTCTAACTCTCCACCCCCACCTCCCAATTTTGTTTCAGTTCTATGAACATTTGAGTATTTATCTGTACCAGAATAAACCAAGTAAATAATTTAATTATTAAAATCCAAACATTGTCATTTAGGAATGTGTTGCTTGATAATAGAGGTAGACATTTAATAATTACTAACCAAATGTCATTAAATATGGCAGTAGAAGACTGGGTAAAGTATAAATGCAGCAAAGAGAAGGAAATTATTCTCTTTAGGAAGCTGTTAGAGATGCCTTTATAGGGTAGGTTAAGCTAGTTATTTTAGGAAGACAGTAGTGTCTTATGAATGAAATTTTGATTCTACTCTATCTGTAGCTATTAGGTCTGGGGGTAAGAGCTTTCTGAAAGACTGCCTGAGGTTAATAGAATACTTCTGAAGAAATTATATTTTAAGTATGTTAGGATTATTAGAGAGGTGTTTGTTATTTTTATTCATTATGCCTTTTTGCTTTGAAACCATCTTTCTGGAATCATTCTTCTTGATGTACCATCCTTTGGCATTTCCTTTAGAGCTGATTTGGAGGTAAATACCATCAGTTTGTGTTTATCCATAAAAGTTTTAATCATCACCTTTCTTTTATGATACTTTTTCTTGATAATCAATTCTATTTTTTTTCAACATGTTGTAGCATTTATTATATTCTGGCTTCCGTTTTTGTTGAAAATTCTGCTGTGATTCTGTCATTTCTCTGGAGGTTATCTTTCCTTTTTCTCTAGCTGCCTTCATGGTTTTCTCTCTGTCTTTGATGTTCTGCAGTCATACTACTGTTTGTCTGCATGTGGGTTCCTTTGTTATATCCTGCCTGAGATACTTTATTCCTAGACCTGTAGATTAATATATTTCATACCCTCTGTAAAATTTGCAGCTATTGTCTCTTTAAATACTACCTCTCCTCTTCGTCCATTTCCTCTTTCTGGGTCTTTAATCAGATTTGTTCTAGAACTTCATATTCTTTCTTCCATATATCCTATTATCTTTTTTATATTTTCTATCTGTATAACTCTTTGCTTCTTTCTGGATAAGTTGTACATATATTTTTTTTGCGGTATGCAGGCCTCTCACTGTTGTGGCCTCTCCCATTGCAGAGCACAGGCTCCGGACGCACAGGCGCAGTGGCCATGGCTCATGGGCCCAGCCACTCCGCGGCATGTGGGATCTTCCCGGACTGGGGCACAAAGCCGTGTCCCCTGCATTGGCAGGCAGACTCTCAACCACTGCGCCACCAGGAAAGCCCCAACTGAGTTTTTTATTTGAATAATTATATTTCTCATTTCTAGAAGCTGTACCTTTTTTCATGTTTGCCTGTTTGTTCATTCTTTCAACAATATTTATTGTGTGTACTCCTTATGTGCCTTGTGATACATCTTTTAACAAAACCACAAGTACCTGTCCTTGTGTAGTTTACATTTC